ATTTTATGATACAACTATTTCGGTTTTCCCGACACTTCCAACTGAGAGAAAATTTTAGGTTTGGGCGATGTAATTAAAAATATCTATATGATTTGGTTGTTTAATAAATTTATTTTGGTTTTGTTGGGTTTTTAGTGAGACAGCTAACTCAATTTCAGTCTGGTTTGTCGTTCGATTTGAACGTCTAATACAAGGCAGATGAAATATGGAACAGAGTAATTTTACTTTCACTTTAATAATAATTATTACCAAACAAATTATGAAAACACAAAAGTCAAAAGTGATGAGCCGCTAATGCATCACAAAGTTGTCCAGTTCTTCTTGTATTAGTTCAGTCATTTTGTTGACTCCATGTCCGATTTGTTCTGATAGTTACGGTGTTTTCTTGGTTGATCTCTCCCCAGATATTCCATTCTGGCCGTTTGGCTTGATAATTGCTGTAGGTCTGTTGTTATGATAAGATTTCCAGCTCAGCATTTATTCTTTCAATCTCAAAGTGATCGATGATGCCACTGGCAAATTTTATTGACTTCAATTCGGGGTTGTTCGATTTGCAAGGTGCAATTTGGAAACTTCCATCGATATGTTTTGCGATTATGTCGTCCCTTTATAGTATAAGATTAGCTGCTACAGTAGGATTATCATGCGATATCCACTCAATAAGTGTTAGTAAGTTATTACGATTACGACAGCTATTTTGATACATTTCATTAAACTTTTGCTGAAATTGTTCTTGAGGAGTATTATAGAGATACTGAAGTTTGGTATTTTCCGGATCAGTTCCCTTTTCTTTAGTGTTTTCCATCATGAGTAATCCTTTATAAGTTGATGTCACCTGGTTTGTATCTTGGTAAAGGTTTATTATATTTATTTTGTCAATTACGATATTGTTGTCCATTGTATTGGGATTGATAAAGTCGGAGTTTCTCGAATCAATTGTTTCGTTAGACTTAAATGTAAATGCCATTTGAAGTTCATCAACAATGCTGTAAACGTCAAAGACGCGTGCTTGGTAATATCCAGTCTTTCGATATAAACATTCACAGCTTCTGTTTTATTCCATAGAACAATACTTGTATTAGTTATACATTTTCCGCTTTGTGTGAGGCAATGTTGGGTAGTATCGAGATCCGATATTGTTTCTCTTCCATCATAGATGAATATTTCTCCTTCTTGTAATGGAAGTTTGTTGTTGATTGGAGTCGAATTCCAAACCATCCATAGGAATATTGCACATTGTTTACGGTTCCCCATTGATTTGG